CAAATACATTGGATTGAAAATCATGTGCTTAAAGAAACGGTAATTTGGTAAAGCATAATTAATGTGGTTTAAGTATATTGGAAAGCTCTTCTAAACTTGGAAGGCTTTCAGTCTTTAACATTTCAATCACCTTCTACAGTGAGTGATTTTTATAGACATGGTTATTGGAGTTTTTAAAGCCCATATCCAACTCTCCCATTAGTATGATATTGTCCGCTTTGGGTCCAGAGGCAAAACCCGCACGAATTTGTTCTTGGGCTCCTTCCCAAAAGACCTCATACTAATTGGAGTTGGACATTACTTATATACTAGACAATTCATGTCTAAACTTTGGATGTGGGATTTGGATTGATATCCCAACAATCTCCCCCTCAAACCAAGTACCACATAAACTTGTGGCCTTCTACCTCAAGCGAAACCTGGTAYCCTTCTTGTACCGYYTGTACTCTTGGCAMCCTTATTCGCGAGGTCACCTTTCGAGGGCTTACCTCCCACAACGAACATGTCCAACCCACTTCTCTGAACCGAACATGTCCAACCCACTTCTCCAGGTCCACTTCTCTGAACCTTGGCTCTGATACCATTTATTGGAGCTTTTAAAACCCATATCCAACTCTCCCATTAGTATGATATTGTCCGCTTTGGACCCAGAGGCAAAACCCGCACGAATTTGTTCTTGGACTCCTTCCCAAAAGACCTCATACTAATTGGAGTTGGACATTACTTACATACTAGACAATTCATGTCTAAACTTTGGATGTGGGACTTGGATTGATATCCCAACAATGGAAGCGTAAATGCAGTTGAGAAGAAAATTGACGGAACACTGATAAAATTCACATGAAGATTTTGTAATTTCACGTAGTTAATATTGGTGGAGGTATCAATGGTCAAAGTCAAGCTTAAAATAATTGAAATGGTCCCCTAATACTCCATAAACTGACAACATGGTTCTCCCCCGCCCCGAGTATTATATAAATATGCATCCATTTTTTGCACTAAGAAATTTGTTTTCTTGTTTTGTCTTGTATTCTCGCACTATTGGTAAATCAAAAGCGTATATATGTGCAGTAACCTGAAAGGCCAACAACTATTGTAAACAAATATGTGCAGTACCTGAAAGTCTAAAAAGCTAACTTTGAAAGCAACTATTGAAAGCTAAGAATCAACACAAATAGCTAAGCAGATC